TGTGTTATGGTCCGATCGGCCTATTAACTTTTCAACCGCACATACGGATTGACCATCTTTTTCATGGCGTATAGAAAATTGTCTCTTTGAAGTTTAAGATTTTAGTGAGGGTTATGACCTTGTTTTGAAAAAAGAAAAGAGGGTTGGGTCCGGGAACAGGCTTGGGTCTCCAGGGTTTAACATGCATGATGGCAATTGGTAGAGTTGATGCTGGTATTGAAAAAAAAAATCACCCGTTCCAATACTCAACCCAAGGCTAAGTTTATCACACATGATTGAGATAATACTACATCTGTAGTGCTGTGAACCCATCCTGACGATCATCATGATTGCTAACTGCAAGCTAGGTCTAACTGAGTGTTATAGTGAAACATATTTTCATAACAAATACATTAAGAAATATAGCTGCGGATAATATAGGTTTGAACTGATTGAAAAGTAAGATGCGCAGTTATTTGGCATGGATGGAGTATGATGGGTCGAGAAGGTTAATACATGGTCCGATCTATCGGCCTAATTAACATGTTCAGTTTTGCAACTGATTGTGTTATTGTCTATATCGTGTCTTCCATTGTATCACAACAAAATCTCCCTGTCCCACTATATTCAGCTTCATATTTGTTTAGTCATACAGAGGTCGTGACAACAGGTTGCTAACTTTGATTTGATACCAAGTTTAGTTTGCCGCCCGCCGGCAACTCGCTTTTTCGTGCAAGCAATGCAAAGCACATACTTACAGTATGACCACCAGCTTGTATTCGCACACGCTAAGAATGACGACGAGCAAAGCAGACGTGGCACGAGATGCTGATGAGGGTCGCAAACCCTATTGGACTAGCTAGCGTGCAGTGTCTTGCTAGCTGAAATGCTGATGAAGATCAACGTGTTAATGTTTTCTTTAGGAGTAGTAGGTGAGCCATCCAGCTCTAACTAGCTGCTGACCTTCTCGACCCGTTACGAAAGGTTTATTTTTCAAACAACTCTTCACTTCTAAAAGGTTTATCTTGTAAAACAAACTAGGCAGTTCCAAAGATGCAAAGAAAGTGCACGTCGAGTATCACAGAACGCTACATCATATCATAAAAACAAAAAATCAAAGTCGATTGGCATAAGACAACTTTTCATCTAGCCTTGAATTGAAGTACACAGACCACTAAAGTTTGAATTTGTTTAATTTATTCTCTCACGTAACACTATTGAATCGGTAAAATTAACCGGAACCAACTCGTACATAGTAGTTTTGTGTACCAATTTGAACGGGCGTGGGAGTCACAATAATCTATCTATAATACACGATTCGGTCATGTCACGCAGAACTCCACAATCCGCCTCTTTCTAGTTTTTGGCAGTCCACGATTTACTGAATTACTTTTGACAGTCCGGCTCTTAGCTTGTCCCAACTGGATTAAAGTCCCTGTTTTGCAAGGATTCGATAGCGTTTTCTTTGGGAGAAGTTGATTCCGATTCTTTTAAGAAACATATTTTTTTTCTGGTTTCTAGCATCCGGTTCATCAAACTTTAAATGACTAAAGTTTTGGTATATATTCTACTGTTTCTGCGAAAATCAATCTATTTGATAATTGATAAAGATTCTCCGGCGAAACAGTGAGAATTCGTATCAAACGGGCGATAGAATTTCCACATGCGGACATGCCATTCTGTCCACTTGTGATGAATGATGATAAAGGCCGCCAGGCCGGCATCAGTACCTGCCATCTGGTGCTGGTCCGGGTGGTCAGCGAGTAGTAATGGCTTCGCTTTCAAGGCACTTGTCGGCCTCCTCGAGATGCCGCCCGGCAGGATTTGGTGGAGCGTGACCGCAACGGCGCACCATCGTCCATCGTCCATATTCAACCCGTTTGGCAGAGACGTGATTATCTGCTCATTTGTCTGCTGGTGGCGTGCCCCCTGGTGCACACACCTTTTTCAACGCGATCTTCTACGCCGTACTCCGGTGTAGTCAAGTGTGCTGGAGATGATTGTCCGTAGAGAACCATTTTGTTATCGGTACGGCTACAGACTGCAGTACGTACAGTAGTTCGTATTCCGTCGTAAATGGCCTGCGGACCACGGAGTCCGGACAGAGCCACGCGATGTGTCTGCTCAGTTGCTCGCTACGAGTACTCCTATTTGCTTCGTACCTGTACGATGACCGTGACCGAACCCTGCAGAATCAATGACGCGACGCAGCACTCCCAGCAGCAGGCCCTGTACAAGGAATCCAGCCAGCCGGCTCTCCTTCAAGTCCTTCCCGAGGCAGGTACTGGTTGCCCGGTCTCGACCGAAGTGGACGGGCGTGTCAGGCAGTCAAGGGATGTGTAGGACCGGCACGAACTACCATTACGCACTGCCAAGTCCGCCCTGCTCCTGCCGTCTGCCAAGCAGACCCACCCCAGCGGCCCAGCCTGCCAGCCATGAGCTCCATGACCATGGAGCGTCTCGTCCCATCGATGAAGCAAGGCACCAAACCAACGTTGCCCGCGCGCGCCGCATGCGCTCCAACGAAAACGAGAGAGCCTGCCGGGCCGGGCGGGGCGGGGCAGCTCGCGCGCGTTGGCGTGGCGTCCGTCCCGCGTCCCCAATCCGAAAGCGGCGCGGGCGCGCAACGCGCAACGCCGCAACCACTCGGCAGTCCCCACGCGGTCCGCGCCCACTGCCGGCCCCGCTCACCTAGTCCACGGACTGCGGGCCCCGACGGCAGAAAAATTATTGGGCGACCAGAAGAGCCCTACCGAGGCCTCGTTTAGATCTTCGACGTGTCACATCGAAATAGGGTGTCGTATGTTCGGATATTAATAAAAAATAAATTACATAATCTATCAGTAAACCACGAGATAAATTTATTAAGTCAAATTAATCTGTTATTAACACATATATACTGTAGCACCGCATTATCAAATCGTGAATTATTTAGGCTTAAAAGATTTGTCTCGTAAAGTAGTCGTAATCTATGCAATTAGTTATTTTTAGTCTATATTTAATACTTCATGCATGCGAAACATTCAACATGATGTAAAAATTCCCGGGAGCAACTAAGGGGGTGTTCTGGGTGGCTGGCCAGCCAGCACACTCACAAACCACTGTTCACGTGAACAATATTTTTCAGATAAAACGATATTTTTATCTCATACCAATCAATCAAAACAATATTTTAATTTATTTTTCAGTCCTACGAACGTGCTCTAAACAAGGCCCAAAGCGAACGCGGACGGCCAATTAAACCGGCCGCACCACGTGCCGCGCACCGGACCGCCCGATCTGGCTGGGCCCCACAGTGGCGTGGTGGGGGTGGGACTCGACTCGAGCAACTTCCGGGAAGGCACGCACGCACCGCATCTCGAGACGGCTATAAAGGAAAAAAAACGGGGCGGAAAAAATATTCGGGCGCTGCAGTTTTTGGTTCTTGGGTTGGGAGGAGAGGGAGGGAAGGAATCAGATTGGCGCAGATGAGACCGGAGAGAGAAGGGAGGTCAGATCAGGCGACGACGCAAGCGGCAGGAGGAGGAGGAGCAGGCGGATTAGGGAGCGGTTGGCCCGTCGCCGTCGCAAGCCAGTGAGCTGCCAAGGAGCACTCCTTTTTAATCGCTGCGGCGCCCGCGCCTGCGTAGGCGCGCGCGTCTGCTCCTGTCGGCCGCACTCAGCGTGAGCGAGCTCTGGCCCAGACTGGAGCGCTCCTCAGGTACTAGTTCATTGTATTTTCGCCATTCATTTCTCTTTTCTTTTTCGCCCGTCTGTGTGAGACGATGTTGTTTGTGCGGTCCCGGGGAGTGGAGCGGTAGGAGAGGGATACGAGATTTGACTTGTCTTTTTTTTTCAAAGTTTTCTCGATCCATCTCGCTGATATTTGGCGATCTTCCTGCCTGACTGAGCCGCAGGTAGATATCCTGGTCGTCTTGTTCAGATTGCTGATTTCCTCTCGAGGTATATTGGGATGCTTCTATTCCACGCAAGCGTGTGATCTTGTTGCTCTTGCCTCTGGGGCCGTGGATTCCGCTTCTGCGTTTGAGGAAAGTTTTTTGGCTGCTCACTTTGCACTGCACGGCAGCTGTGTGAGGGACTTGTTCTTCAGCCACTGCTGCGCTTTGATTTGCATGGGGTTACTAGCAATTTAGTGGGAGTGGTAGCTGTAGATTAGTTCTGATTATGATGTCGCTTATCTCACCTCGTCATCAGTGAATGAGTCGAGCTGCGGCATCTGGGAAGAATTGAATTTGTTTGATGACCCAATGATGCTCTATATTTGCTACTGTAGTGTTTTCACTAATTGAATCTTTCTGTTTGTGTACAATCCATTCATCATTAACGCAGTAGATTTGTTTCTATCTACCTTCTGCCAGTCTACTTCTTTGATAGTTTGATTATTTTCTATAGAAAACTCGTACTGCCTTTAATTTAACATGGCAATAAATAATTTCTTCTTCTATATTGAGAATATTATTTTTTCACCTCACTGTTCTTCTAGTAGTATCTTTGATCTACCCTATCATTGATTATTTTCTATAGAAAACTCGTACTGCCTTTAATTTAACATGGCAATAAATAATTTCTTCTTCTATATTAAGAATATTATTTTTTTACCTCACTGTTCTTCTAGTAGTATCTTTGATCTACCCTATCATCTGCTTGTTTATTGTCGGTTGGTATGCGATGTACTGTGCCTTCAGTTCTGCTTAATCTGGGGAAACTGACAACGATTTGTACCAGAGGACACAGATTATCAGCTGATTATCCGTGACACGGCAAGATGTCGCTAGCCAAGAAGGAAGAGGTACTCAGAAACTTCCTCCTCGGAGGTCAATTCTGGTTGTTTGAACGTCTCTTTCACGTTTGCCTAAAAATTCTGGGTGTTTTATGAGCAGGTTTGCAGTCACCGACTTGTACCGCGGTTGGATGAGCCTGGGGTTGGTGTGCCTATTAAGAAGAGGCCAGTTCTCTTGTCTGACAGATCGGTTGCATCTGCCATACCACTCTCGATAAAGCCCCCATCTCCAACGAAGACGATGCCTGTTACTGCTACAGGGACAGGCCGCCGCGAGGAACCATTCTTCAACATTGGTAACTCAGACACAAATGTCATCACCAAAGGTAAGGGAATCCCTGACACCCACATCCAAGACCATGCCAACACGTCGTGTACTGCGCTATCCATGGCCAATGGCAACGGAGTGCTATTTACTGGATCAATTGAGATCCCTTCTATTGCAGATAGTGCTACAAGGACTTCTGCACCAGTTGCTGAATTGCAACGTCCAAATTTTTTGGCTCTGGATTTACAGTTACCATCTCGTCAAAGTGGCAAAAATAATTACTATGGCTCACTTGTGAAGGAAGAGAAACTGGACCAGAGTCTTTCTGAACACCACAATAACGTTCCTATTGCAAATGAAATCAATGCTTCTGGGAATAGTATTCTTGGGAGACTACCTAACTTGGATCTGAATATACTGCCAGACCCAGCTGATTCACTCGAAGGTTTGCCTAAAATGGATGAAAGTGGGAGTGGGTTGTATCATCATAGAACAATTCAACATCAGAAAGCTCAGGTGACCCCAGCGGCAGCTATTTATACAATAAGCAGTGGAATAGGTCGAAATATTGGCAGTACTCTGAACATGTCTAATTCATATGGGCTTTCTCATAAGTCTGGACCAGCTGATGTTACCTTAGATTTGCAACTTAAACCACCAGCTAGACCTGAGCTAGGGATAAACTGGAAAGGACTTGCTCCTGCTCCAGAACTGAGTCTCTCTCTATTTGGTAAGCCTATGGATGAGCCCAAGTCTCTTAGCACCCCTAATGCTTTATTTGATTCTGGGACTGCTGGAAGTTCCAAAAAGGTCAATGAGGAGGCTCCTGCTACACTTGTGTCAGATGATGCACCAGTTGAGAAGATTGTAACACCCATGCCCTGGAATGTAAATCCTCAGAATACTACATCAGCAACTGTTTCTGGAATTGATCAGCTGCCATCTAATAATTTGGTGAAGAAAGAACATGAAGAAATATCCCAGCAGCATATTCTTGACGGTGCTGAAAGGGCAAATCTATCAGAACGACAAAGTGTTGGACTAGTTATCAGTTGTGCTGAATCTGAAAAGACTGATAGTGCACCCCAAGGTCCCCGTAAAACTGGGTTTGATTTGAATTCTGACATCTCTACAAATAATATTATCCATAATGGGCCTGATGTAGCAGCAGTTAGTGTCCCAGTACCAGCTGAAAGTTTACCTGATACTTCCCACGCCAAGACCATGCCTGCTGTTCCTGAAGTTGACAAATGTGTGAATCCTGAAGAATCCACAAGTGCTACCCCTAGTCTCCCTGTTGTAGAAACAGGAAGTGGTCATACTACACTGTTGATGGAAGCAAAATCACTGCCTTCGCAAAGTAATGTTGCCAGCCCTTCTGTTGGGTTATGTGAATCATCCAGCCAGCCCACTGCTCATGAGGATACGAGACAGAGGTCTTGTGATGCTAATGAATCTAGTGGTGCATCACCAAGTTCCTCCAGTCCTCCAGTTGAACCTTTGCCTTTTAATTCTCTGGAGAATGCTATTGTTGATGGTATGTCACAAGGGAGTGCTGAAATGGACTGTTCAGATGATGATGGTAATACTGTTTCACGAATTCCAACTACAAATAAGCCTCATGGTGAGCCATTGGGGAATGGCCCCCCAATCAGCAAGGATGGTATCAATACTGATAACTTAAGCAAAGAGCTAAAGAAAGAACACGATAGTGATATGCATCAAGATTGTTCATCTATGACAAATAAGGTTAATATTGATCCTATTGAAGGTGGCAAGTGTATTAAAACAAAAGTTGGTGTTGTCAGCCATGCAGGTCAGCAGGGGCTCCGAAATGAGGTTATTGTTAGTGAAAACTCTAAAGGCAAGCAATCTTTGAATTCTGATAAGAATATCCCAGTAAATTATACTGACAATAGCATACATGATGCTAAGACTGCCACAGGTTCCAGTACCACACATCTCCAAAAGTCATCAGCTTTTCCAAAATCTGATTCCCCTAAACTGCAACCTACCAAGCATTCTCCAAAGACTTTAGATAGCTGTCTTGAGAAGACTAGAAGCCCAGATATAAAGTCTCCAAATGGTATGCAAGCTGGAAGTTGTAGTGAGAACCATGCAAAAATTGCTGCTTTGAAGACAGAGCATCAGACTAAAAGTGAAGAGGTCGGTAAACACTCTGATTTGCGCCCAAGAGACTCTGTCCTGGGTGAAGACTCAGAACTTGATGGCGCTTCAAGCAGTCAACAGCATAGTGAATATGGCAAGAAGTCAGCGTCTGAAAAGTCAGAACATGACAAATCCAAACCTGACTCTTGTAACACATCTCTACAGAATGAAAAAGATGGACAACTTGTTGGGGCAAATTGGACACTGGGGCATGTTTATGTGAATAGGTATGTTTCATGTCATCTGTTTCCATTGTGGGATACTACAGTAATCATGACTCAAGGTCCTCTTGCGTATGGTGCCTAGGTGTGCATGGTTTTATGTTTGGCTTGAATTATAAAAGCTTTCCCTCCTTTTGTCCATGTGCCATTTTTACAGGAACGAAAGATGGGAGAGATTCATGGAGTCCGAGCGAGAAAAGAACAATGGAGAATGCCATGGTGGCAGACATGCATCTGATGTTATGAACAAACGAATGACAAACCACCGTGGTGGTTGGCGGGGTGCTGGATCCCGTGGCCATCTGAGGAACTTCCGAGGTCCAAGAATGAGCAATGAGTTTGTTGATGAATCTATTGGTGGCAGGAGGCGTTCATTTGAAGATGAACCTGGGCACATCCGAGGTCCACATAGGAGGCGTCATTCACCACCACATGGCTGCATCATGAGAGAGATGGACATTGACGATTTCTATGGAAGAGAGATTCCAGACTCTAGGCTGCTGGCCCGTGGGCAAATAGAAGATCTCCCAGATGACATGATGGATGATAGGTTTTTTATGCCACATTCCCATAGACACCGTGGTCAAGGTGATCATGGATTCATCCACAGAGACAGGAGCCATTCGCCTGCACACAGAAGGGGTGGCCATGTGCATTTCCATCGGGACGATCACCTGAAGCGATGCACAGATCACCGCCACTAATGCGAACTGACAGACCATACTTGCCTCATCGCGCCACAACGGAAGCCATGATGAGAGAGAAGTCATGCAGAGAAATGTGAGGAGGTGCGCCATGGAAGGTGATGCCTTTGAGCCACCGCTACATGCTGCTCACCTAGCTGGACTCCATACAGAAGAGGAACTTGTGGGTAGAAGGAAGCATAGGGAGCGGAGAGCATATCTTCATTCTCCGGTCAGTGATGAAGACGAGATGCTCTCCTACCAGACAGAGGATGACATGGAATTTGCTGAAGGAGGTGTTGGTCCACGGGAGCACGATGGTCGCTTCAGGAACAGGATGGGGCACAGCAGGGCAAGAGGAGAACAAGAGGATGGGTACAGGCACCGTGGTGGTCATCAAGGGTGGCGAGACAGTGACTCGAATGACAGACCAAAAAGGAGGAGGTACTGACCTACTCACAGCATGACCGGCTAATGAAGACGACGTTGGCCTTTGGTTGGACTGACTGAGGGCATCTGCCACACATCTCTCAGTCTCAGCCAAACCCAGCACCTTTTTGCCAGCGTCTTCCATTCCATATATTGGTTTGTTTGTTGCATTATTTTCTCAGGAGAACATGGTGCTGCAGCGTGATGCTCCCAGACACCTGCAGCATCTAAAGCATAGTCCTCTCTAAAGTAGCCCTGGATCCTGCTCCTTTTACAAGCTGAGCTGCTAGTACATGTGGATGATGAAGGTGGAGACACTGAAATTTGAGGCCAAGCTCAGTGAAATAAGACTCCTCCGGCATGTGCTATTTTTGCCTGGCTGCAACTGAGCAAGGAGGCGAACCTGTTTGGACAAAAAGCTACACAATACTTTTACATGCATGCATGGGTGCTGGACTGCTGGTGGGACCTTGTATTAAAGACCGACTTGTCTCTATAATTTGGTTTTGAGTAGATGGGAGTACAGCTGCTATGGGACCGTATCCTTGTGGTCTGGTCCACGTCGTTGCTGTCTGGTTGGATTGGCTCGCCCGACACTCCATGGGTATACACCTAGCGGGCTAATATGCACCGAATAAAGATGTGTGTTGACTGTTGAGTCTTGTTTTGGCACACCGTCCCTTTGGGGGCCTAGTCGTGGTGTGGAAAAGGTGAGCCGGGCGTGAAGGCGACAACGCCACTTCGGTGAAATTTCACATGATCTATGGATGCTACAACTGTGCCGGGCGTGGAACGGGAAGGAGCTGCGAAGCTGCTGCTGCGTGCTCCAGGGAATCGGTGTGTGTTGGTGCTTGGCTCGTTGACGAGCTTTGGTTGGTCTAGTCGTTCTTGACAGCTCGAGTGATTTGGCATCTTCATAATTCTCTTTTTGTGGTCCAGCCGTCCAGGCGTTGTGTTGTGCCACTGTCGATCATGGGGGTTTGAGATTGACGCGACCCGAATGTGAATGCGCGAGCGCGATGAGAATCCATTGGTTTGTGTTTGGCGCTTGGCAAATCGGCGCTTGACCGGCGTTGCGCTTAGACGGGCAAGTCGTCGCCTGCGCCTAGCAAATCCACACGCGTTGGCTTGCTTTCTCGAGCTGGCAAGTCATGGCCGATTTGGTGCGTGAAATGGCGTCGAGAGCGGCGGCGACTGCAGGTCTAGTAGTCTGTGGTCCGATTGTGACGCGTCAGACTATTCTTTGTGAAGGAGCCATTCAGCAATGCAGCAATTCATACCAACAGACATGCTGCGGACAGCTCTCAACAACTACAGCATCACAAAGCCATTGTAGTAAACTCACGCCTTTCGAGATTAATTTCTCAGTTCTCTCAACAACAGCATCACAAAGCATTTTGCATAACGTGACCGATGAAATTAAATTAAATTAAAGGTGTTAAAACGACTGTTAAAGATCAAGTTCTTTGCTCGAATGTCCGACATTTCCCAGTTCTCACAACACACATATTCCTGCAAGGCACATCGAGAGGTAAAATTACTAGAAAAGACGCACCCTACCGGATCAAAAAAAAAAAAAAACTCTCCATTTCACTTCGCCGGCGGCCCCGGCCACGTGCTGATCCGCTCCTTCTCGTACTTGACGAACAGCGCGGCGGCCGCGGCGATGGTGTACGCCTGCAGGAACAGCGTGGCCGGCTGGTGGTACTTCACCAGGGCCTGCCCGGAGCCCAACTCCACGAGCAGCACCGCTGCGAGGCCCACCGCGGCCAGCGAGCCGTTGAGCCGCTCGCTGTACGCGGTGAAGCCGAACTCGATGGGCGCGCCGAGCGCCGACCGGGGCTCCCGCAGCGGCACGGGCGGGAGCGTCACGGCGTTGGCGGACGCGGACGACGCCGCGGCCTTCTTCTTGCGCGCGCCGCGCTTCTTGGGCCCGACGCGGGACTTGATCTGTAGGACGCGCTGCTCGAAGTCGTCGTCCGCGGTGGCCGTCTTGGTAGCAGCCGGGGGTGTCTGCTCCTGGTCGGCTGCTGCGGTGTCCTCGCCGGAGGAGGCCGCACGGGGAGGGAACGGTAGTAGCAGCAGGGCGCGGTGCCGGAGAGGGGGAGCGGAGGGTGGTGGGAGCGAACGGGCTGGAGAGCGGCGTCGCCATTGCTCCGCTTGGCGCGTGCACGCACCAGCACTTCATGGCGCGGGCGCGAGCGGGTGCCTGCAGCTTGCGTCTCGTCTTGGTCTGGCTGGCCTCTGCTTTTGGATAGGGTCTTGGTTGGTTGGCTGGCGAGTGGCTCCGGTGGTTGCACGGTGCATTGAAAACTGCCTCATGCAGCGTTGCGGTCGTGTGATGAGATATTTTTCCGTTAGAAAATTTGGGCCAAAATAGCTCGGCTTGTATGCGTCGCTGTCACGTTCACAGTTCGGCCTCCTTTTCCTATGGGCTTCTGCGTTTCTGCCCTACGTAGTCTCCACGCAGACACACGCCCGGGCTAAAAATGTAATGGGCCTTTAAACCCACCACATTAGCACGATTTTGTTTTAGATACTATAGTCGTCTCTTCAGTCACTGAGCGGTGAACGCATTTTAACCTCACAAAACCCATTAGCTCCTGAGATGGAAGCCGTGTCCACGTCGGCAGAAATTTTTTTGACCGTTAGATCTCCCAATCCGACGGCCCAGGGCCCCAGCAAGAATTTTCTAGAATCGGCTTCGGATTACACTGTGGGCTTTCTCCAGCTTCTCCACCGATTTCTTGTGTTACGACCGTTCCCTCCTAGCTTCTCTACAGAATCATAGCTCCCCCCAAATATATAGTCAGGATTCCAGCTTCTTCCGTCCTCGGCCCATACTCTTCCCGATGTTTCTCTTCCCGACCCCGACGTCTTCCCGCACCACGGTGCCTAGGTCGCTCCCGACGCCGTCTTCCCTTCCTCTCTCCTCTCCCTCTCCCTCTCCCCCGGCATCGCGGCGTGCCTGCCGGGCCCCAGCGCCGCCGCCTCACCGCGCGGCGCGCTGCCTGGGCGACGGCGCCGCCGGTTTGGTGCACGGCGGCGCGCGTGGACCCCGGCGGCAGCCGTCCCCACCATGGCACGACGCTAGCAGGCACCGCCGGTGGCTGCCCCACGGCGCTGACTTCTCCCGCTGGTCCGCGTGTGCTCCACGAAACCCTAACTCCCTGTGCTTGACGACCGCGAGCTGCTCCCGGCGACGCGACCGCTCGGATCCTCAGCATTGGACTGTTAACAAGTAATGTGGTCATTGAATTATTGGTCTCACAACAATTTCTGTACAGTTAGTCAGTCTGCTAATGGTCTGTAGTGGATCTTGTGTAGGTGCAATTTTTACCTGACTATGGTGTATAAAATCGACTATTCAATTCTTCTGTTTTTATTTCAAATTCAGTTTTTGTTCCCTATATATCTAAATATCTGCCAACTTTTGATTGTAGGTGTGTTCCCCACTTTATGAATTTTGAAACTTTGATTTCACATTGAGGCAGTTCATGTACAATTTTTTTATTGCACTATGCGATGTGCAACCGAATAAGACCTAAAATGAATAGCGTAGAGCATCGACCTCGCTCCATCTGTTCTAGCACCAGTTAATACATGATTTCATTTGTTCTGACTAATTTTATGTGTTCCGCCTAATTTATGTAATTGTTTTTTATGTGTGCACAGGTTGTGCTGAATCTACTTCCTTTGCAAAGCACTGTTGCTGCAGGTATACATATATGTGTTGAGCCTTTGTAAATATGCCCATTTATTGCTGAATGTTAAATAGCTATTGCACTTATTTGGGGACTTTTATACCATACACAGTACTGTGAAATTTGTTTAATTTTGCTTGCAAGATAATCCATTTTGTTTTTTCATGTTGCCCCATTGTAACACATTATGATAGGATAGTTCCTGCGATTAATTGGTTCAGAGCCTTTTGAAACCAATTTTTCTGATAGTCTGCTACTTTTTCTTTTTTTTTATCATTTTCGACTGACCCTCCTCCCTTTAAAATATGATGTCAGATGAAAACAGTGCATACTAAAAGGTGTCCGCGGAGAAAACTGTGCTAGGGACGGCAAGCACAAGGTGATTGATTTACAGGTTGGCAACTTGCTTAATGCCTCATTTGTAGTAAGGAATGGTTCTTTTCAATGCATGGTGTTCATACTAAGTACAAAAAATTCAGTCTCATGTCATCTAACAGTGGGGGCTTCCCCTGCTGTTTTCCTGGTTAGAAAAAAAAGGGTTCTGTTTTGATTCCTTATATTAATCTAAGTTACCTTATGTTACCAGAATAGGATGTTGTTTGACTACTTTGTGAGATTTTAAAAAGTAATGTTGTAAATTTGCTAGGGTCTGCTCATTAGCTATTCAAACCACAGTGCTTCAAATGAAATTAGGCTCATTATTTGATCATTGTTAACCAGAAATAGAAGTACGACTATCAGCCTAAAAAAATCCTTTTCCCGCTATAAAAAAGGACCATGTGCTTAGCATACTAATACTATCTAGGATATGTTAATTTTAGTGTCTGCAATTCTAGCTTCAATGCATTTTTTATTAGAAGTTGTCCTGAATGTAAAGCTACAGGAAAAAATAGATAGTGGCTTAATATCCCAGAGGAAGCACAATGTTCTTAAAAGTGACAATTGTCTTGCTGAATTCAGCCGCAATGTCCTAACTTGGTGTTTCTCTCACATGGTTAGTAGTTTTGGTCTTGTCCTGCTACCATTCTTCTATGGTCTTTCCTGAGCTGACAGATGTTTCCTATGAATCATGTGTCTGAATTGCTAATGTGTCCATGCTTTGGTTGCCATGTAATGAAAATAGATCTCTTTGTTCCGTCTGTGGATCCGTGGCATTAGCAAAGCATTATTCTCCCTTTTATGTTGCAAAGTGATCTTTACTTTTGCATATTCATTTACCCTTCTCTTTTATCAGATATGATTTGCCAATGCACGTTGAATCTTAGCCTTCTCTTAGGCATCCACTGAACCAAGGTATTTTTATCTCCTTTAATTATGA